TTACCCTAGCCCTAACCCTTACCTTAACCCTTATTCTAAACCTAACCCTTACCTTAGCAAGCATTTGCTTATCAATAATATGATAATATGACAATCTGTAAAACATCTACAAACCGGACTATCCAAATAAAGTGTGACCAAAAAAACTAAACAGCAACCAAATTGGCAATATAACTCCAGTTCTACTCCAAAATGGCAAACTCTTAGAAACCACAAAGAGAAAGCCCAAGCCTTCAGAGACAACCTGCAGAGACTGCATTCATTACTAACATCATGAACTTCTCCAAGTACCAGGACTGGGGGAGTTTGAGGCCTCAAAAACAGGAATGCATTACAGTAATTAAATGATGGAAGAAATACTAGTGGAAATTAAGATATTGAAAACTACCGTGGACTCCCTAAAAGACACTACAGAGAGGCTACAGTATGATAATAAACAATGAAAGCAGAATTACTGTATCTAAAGTGCAGAAGTATGAAGAATAATATAGTCATAATGGGAATAAAGGAGGATGAAAATGAAAACTATCAGTCAACGGAGGAAAAAGTCAAAATGTTCATGAAACGTAATCTCAAGATGATGGACGAACAGGTGGATACAATTGATTTTCAAAGGGCTCACCGTTTCGGTGGCAGAGCGAAGGGAAGGCCCCATCCGATCGTAGCTATGCTAACTCACTACAACATGAAAATTGCCTTGTTACAACAGGGTAGGGAACTGAAATCTTTCTGATTGAGAGGGGGTCAAATACTTATTTCCCTCATTAAAATGCAAATCAATTTGTAACATTTTTGACATTCGTTTTTTTCAGGATTTTTTTGTTGTTATTCTGTCTCTCACTGTTCAAATAAACCTAACATTAAAATTATAGACTGATAATTTCTTTGTCAGTGGGCTAACGTACAAAATCAGTAGGGGATCAAATCCTTTTTTCCCCTCACTGTATACAGTGGGGAGAACAAGTATTTGATACACTGCCGATTTTGTAGGTTTTCCTACTTACAAAGCATGTAGAGGTCTGTAATTTTTTATCATAGGTACACTTCAACTGTGAGAGACGGCATCTAAAACAAAAATCCAGAAAATCACATTGTATGATTTTTAAGTAATTTAATTTGAATTTTATTGCATGACATAAGTATTTGATACATCAGAAAAGCAGAACTTAACATTTGGTACAGAAACCTTTGTTTGCAATTAGAGATCATACGTTTCCTGTAGTTCTTGACCAGGTTTGCACACACTGCAGCAGGGATTTTGGCCCACTCCTCCATACAGACCTTCTCCAGATCCTTCAGGTTTCGGGGCTGTCGCTGGGCAATATGGACTTTCAGCTCCCTCCAAAGATGTTCTATTGGGTTCAGGTCTGGAGACTGGCTAGGCCACTCCAGGACCTTGAGATGCTTCTTACGGAGCCACTCCTTAGTTGCCCTGTCTGTGTGTTTCGGGTCGTTGTCATGCTGGAAGACCCAGCCACAACCCATCTTCAATGCTCTTACTGAGGGAAGGAGGTTGTTGGCCAAGATCTCGCTATACATGGCCCCATCCATCCTCCCCTCAATACGGTGCAGTATCCTGTCCCCTTTGCAGAAAAGCATCCCCAAAGAATGATGTTTCCACCTCCATGCTTCACGGTTGGGATGGTGTTCTTGGGGTTGTATTCATCCTTCTTCTTCCTCCAAACACGGCGAGTGGAGTTTAGACCAAAAAGCTCTATTTTTGTCTCATCAGACCACATGACCTTCTCCCATTCCTCCTCTGGATCATCCAGATGGTCATTGGCAAACTTCAGACGGGCCTGGACATGTGCTGGCTTGAGCAGGGGGACCTTGCGTGCGCTGCAGGATTTTAATCCATGACGGCGTAGTGTGTTACTAATGGTTTTCTTTGAGACTGTGGTCCCAGCTCTCTTCAGGTCATTGACCAGGTCCTGCCGTGTAGTTCTGGGCTGATCCCTCACCTTCCTCATGATCATTGATGCCCCACGAGGTGAGATCTTGCATGGAGCCCCAGACCGAGGGTCATTGACCGTCATCTTTAACTTCTTCCATTTTCTAATAATTGCGCCAACAGTTGTTGCCTTCTCACCAAGCTGCTTGCCTATTGTCCTGTAGCCCATCCCAGCTTTGTGCAGGTCTACAATTTTATCCCTGATGTCCTTACACAGCTCTCTGGTCTTGGCCATTGTGGAGAGGTTGGAGTCTGTTTGATTGAGTGTGTGGACAGGTGTCTTTTATACAGGTAACGAGTTCAAACAGGTGCAGTTAATACAGGTAATGAGTGGAGAACAGGAGGGCTTCTTAAAGAAAAACTAACAGGTCTGTGAGAGCCAGAATTCTTACTGGTTGGTAGGTGATCAAATACTTATGTCATGCAATAAAATGCAATGTGATTTTCTGGATTTTTGTCTCTCATAGTTGAAGTGTCCCTATGATAAAAATTACAGACCTCTACATGCTTTGTAAGTAGGAAAACCTGCAAAATCGGCAGTGTATCAAATACTTGTTCTCCCCACTGTATGTAAATGTTGTAAACAAAAATACAGTTTAAAAAGTCACACAATGTAAAAAACCTATTACAACTGGAGCAGGCCAACCCTGCTGGGTGGCAGGCTCCTGTTCCAGACCAGCACTAAGACCTGATCCAACTTATCAAACCCAATTAGTTGATAATCAAGTGTGCTATTGCTGGGCTGAAATAGAAGTCTGCTCACCAAGTATATCAGGGATTAGTGGAGCGAGGTTGGCCACCTCTGGTATTGACTTGCTTTTGTTCACCTGAAATTATGCTTTAGTAATAATAGCCTACACTCTTAGAAAAAAGGGTTTCAAAAGGGTTCTTCGGCTGTTCCCATAGGAGAACCCTTTTTGGTTCCAAATAGAACCCTTTTGGTTTCACGTAGAACTATTTTGGGTTCTATGTTGAACCCTATGTGTAAAGGGTTCTACCTAGAACTCAAAAGGGTTCTACCTGGAACCAAAAAGGGTTCTCCTATGGGGAAAGCCAAAGAACCATTTTAGATTCTAGATCGCACCTTTTTTTCTGAGTGTACTTGTTACTAAGAAGTCTAACCTTTACATACAGTAAAAGTTGTCAAAAATATCAATAGTAAAGTAAAGACATCCCAAAAAACTACTTTAGTAGTATTTTAAAGTAATTTTACTTAAGTACTTTACACCACTGAGTACTTGTGGCACCAATAAAGCTTTATATTGTGAAGATAAACACATTTGGCTTCATGTTTCCCAGACAGATTAAGCCTAGTCCTTGACCAAGAATTTTAGCCCAGGATTAGGCTTAATGTGTGTCCTGGAAACCGGCCCAGTCTTTTAATTATAGTTTTTACAGTGTGTTTATGTTTTCTAATTTTCAGCCTGCCTGCGAAACACATTTCCCTATGGAATAATGAAGACTACCTTGAACCTAGAAATGTTCTGTTCATAAATATTTATCTTATTAATTTAGTAAAATAGAATACCATTATTCCATAGGGAAATGTGCTTTGATCTGTAGAGAATAGAATAGTGCTCCGTAGACAAGTGCGTCTTCACTCTAATATCATTCACAATATGAGACAAGAAAACATGGAGCTTTCCGATAGGTGCTTTATGACAAGTGACGACCTCCAGGCGTGGCAAAAAATAAAAATAAAGTTCTCGAAGGTTCTGCATGGGGGAAAAAATGAAATTTCGAAGGTTATAAATCCATTGAGCAAGGAGCATACAGCCATTAATACAACCGTCTATGTTCATGTGTCCTTTGCGGCTCATTTCGATTTGAGTGCATTGTTGAAACATGTCGATACGGACAGGACTGAAAGGAAGGCAGTGCTGCTCCCGGTTCAGCTTTCTCTTCAAATTCTTCACCTTAACATTAGAATGAATACACAATACTGACGACGGATCAGCTCCTGGATAGACTATTATCATATGGCTGCAAATATTGATGCGGTTTATTCTAATAGCTTTGCCAGTAAATCATATATTTGGAACATTATTGTGTATGTTGTTACAGTACACAATTATATTGAGGTAAAAATTACTGTAGCCTACAATAGCAAAATAAAACTTGATTGTCTGACTTCAGAATTTCAGGAATCACTGATTAATTTGTAATGTGAATAAAAACTCTTAAAAGTGGACAGTTTCACTTTTCCACACCTGCATAAAACAGATATTTCTGTCCTGTCTGCACCTGAACAAAACAAAAGCTCCCTGCAGCTAGTCTAGGTGTGTGGTCAAGGACATGGGTTTTACTCGAGATAAGGATATCTGGAGCTGACAATTGATTTATGCATGGTTTGGTGATAAAACCTACAGCATGCATTCCATTAAATTAGTTGGTGTTTGTGTAATGTAAGGTACCATGGAGAGATGGCTCAGGTATGGATAATGATGAGAGGAACCTTGTCTTGGGGGCCAAACTCTGATTTCCATACAATAAGAACAGTCTTCACAGCACATGCTATCTGGCTGGGGGATACTACTTTCTCATATATCAAGTCTCACCTTTTGACTCATTCCACACATCTGCTGTTTGTCATGTAGACTGATAGGGTGTATCTTTGCTATAAAATATCTTTGTATTCTTTGTAGGTCAGAGCTCTCGGCCAGCCTCATTATTGCAGAGCACTCACTCCATTCACGTGTGTGGGTGGTGTAACCTGCTGCCTTTTTAATAAGTTTTGAATAAAGTAATATTCTGATTGGTGATTGACCTTGCCTCTCCTCATTATTGATTAGAATTTCCACGACAAATGATAATGCCTATACAGTGGAAGTTGAGAATCCCTTTATTATAGACAAGTTCTAGAATTGCGTTGGAGGAACTCAAGAGTACAGTATAGGTAATTACATGTATGTGACAGTTCATTATTCCATGTTGTAAGCAGTATTCCTATGAGTTCGTACTCAGGACAAATGTGGCTAGTGGCTACAACCTCCAGGAGTCAACCCTCACCACCCACCTATAATCCACCCCCAATAGCGACGATATCAGTTCAGTTAGTGGGTAGATACTGAAACGTCTTGCCTGAGTACCAGGTCATCTTTCTACCTGTAAAAGGTCCTGAGATAAGTCAGGGTGGGAGGAAGAAAGGGACAAACATATAAAGATTGTGTCATGTGGTATAAAAAGAAAAGGGCTTTTTTGTTACATTTGGGTGTAGTGGGAGAAAATAGCTGACTATGGAGAGTGTCTTGTCACTCTTGAGGAGCTGGGCCACCATTGCAAGGTTAGGGTCAAAAGGAAGACACTACAAAGTGTTCACTCTGGGTAAATCTCAATAGTCTAAATTGACTTCCTCTCCTTGTTTCTTCTCCTCCATCTCTGCTTATTCGAAAATCACAGGATAGGTGAAAACAAATCTTTGTTCACAAGTATTTTCTTTCACCTGTCTGCTTCTTTCTCATATCCCAGTTCGAGGAGAGGAAGCCACTTAAGACTATTGAGATCCACCCTTCATTTGTGTATTTAGTAGCTGCGGCCAAACAGGGTGTAATACTGGGCGGCCTCCTTGCCGCTGACACACATCTGACCCGGCTGCAGGGGCTTGAGGGGCTTGAAGGGGATACACAGGCTCTTGGCACCCATGGAGGGGGCACCGGGCTCCAGATCCTGGTCCCTGGAGAGGCAGAGAGAGAGAGCGAGGTGGAGGTGACCGATTTTATGAACTTCATTATACATTTGGTAACACTTCACTTAGAGCAGATAATGCATTTTGATGTGATTATAAGCACTGCACGACTAATCATAAGAATGTACACTGAGTGAACGAAACATCAAGAACAAGGTGAATCCAGGTGGATTTTTAAGCCTTCAGACATTGATTGTGTATATGTGCCATTTAGAGGGTGAATGGGCAAGACAAAATATTTAAGTGCCTTTGAACGGGGTATGGTAGTAGGTGCAAGGCGAACCGGTTTGTGTCAAGAACTACAACGCTGCTGTTTTTTTTACATTCAACAGTTTCCTGTGTGTATCAAGAATTGCCCACCACCCAAAGGACATCCAGCCAACTTGACAACCGTGGGAAGCATTGGAGTCAACATGGGCCAGCATCGCTGGGAGGGGGGGGGGTTGGTATACTCATTGTATGTTAGCATGCATCCCTGTCATTGAGTGATACTTGAGTGAGACTTACTTGGCAGTGGTCTTCTTGATCCAGTCCTCACACTCGATGCCTCCACAGAAAGGGATCTGGACAATCTGTGGTTATCAAATATATTTGTCAGTCTGTTTATATTACTTAAGCCAGCCAGATATGGAAACAATTCATCTGATGAAGATTGGGAATCTAACAGAAACAAATTCCAATGTAACGCACCCTGCCCTGGTCCAGGTCTTTTTGGAACTGTTCCATAGAGTCTGCTACCACCATGTGTTTGTTCAGGTCGTCCGATGCCCTGTGACAAAGAGGAGGCATATTAGTCACACTATTTGACCGGTCACACGTGTGTGTGTGTGCACGTTAGCACCTGTGCAGTCGCTCAGAGAGAGAGCGCGAATGAGAGGGATTGTGTGTGTTACCTAGAGGTTGGCCTTGATTTCCTACAGTAGGTGTGTGTGTGTGTGTGTGTGTGTGTGGATCAGCATACGCATACCTCTTGAAGAGGTTGGTCTGGATGTCCTCCAGTAGCTGTGTAAGCCTCTTCTCGGTGTCAGCCTCGGGCAGGGTGATCTTCTCCCCCGTGTCTCTCCTCACGGCCACACACTGACCCTGCTTCAGGTCCTTAGGACCAACCTCAAGGCGAATGGGTACACCCTGAGAGAGAGGGATGGAGGGAGGGAAGGAGGGGTGAGGTGGAGAGCGAGAAAGATGGAGAGCAAGAGAGAAAGAGAAGGAGAGAGAGATGGAATTAGAATGAGGGAGAGGATAGAGATGCAGACGTTTCCTTTCGATTAAACACTTATTATTGGACTGACGAGAAGTTTATCTCTGAAATCAACTAATTGTCAGTACTACAAATTTATCCCCAGCATCCATGGAAAAGTTACATGAGACCCATGAACTATAGTTCACTGTGGCAGCCATTTTGGACAGTGCGGTCCATTGTAGAGGAAGCACTGAATGAGACAGGGCTGCAAACGTTCTAATGGCCCTAGAAAGGGTTCTGGGGAGTAATACAATAACAATAATATTATACGCCATTTAAGATATACTTTTATCCAAAGAGGCATACAGTACAGTGAGTGCAAAATGTTTAGTGTATGACTCCAGTGAGAATCGAACCCACGACCCTGGCGTTGTAGAGCCAGTTCTTACAAACTGAGCCACACAAGACCAGGAGTGGTGGTTTTACCTTGAGTTCCCAGTGGTTGAACTTCCAGCCGGGGGAGTAATTGTCTCGGAGGTCGGCCTTAACCCGGATCTCTCCCCTCTGCAGCCGGGCCAGGTACTTGGAGCACTGGGCCAGGATAGCCTCCTTCTCAGCCTCAGGCAGGGAGGCCGTGATACCACACGGGATGATGATCACCTGGGAGAGAAGAGCAGGAGAACATGCGGAGTTATACAATTTGACTAGGGCCAATAAAGGTGAAATTCTTTACCTTTTGCCAGGCAGTCATTTGTAATTCAGACTTTGTTATTAACAGACTTTCCTGGTAAAATAAAGGTAAAATCAAAATGTAAATCAAAACATACCTGGAGACAGGCGACTCTCGGGGGCAGCACCAGGCCCATGTTGTCCCCGTGTACCATGGTGAGCACGCCGATGGTGCGGGTGGTGATGCCCCATGAGTTCTGGTAGGCCAGCTGCTTCTCGCCCGGTTTCCTGGGGTCCTCGAACTCGATGTTAAACATCCGGGAGAAGTTTTGGCCCAGGTGGTGGGATGTCGCACCCTGAGAGAAAGAGAACCATTTAGCTTGTTTCTTACATTTATTTTATGATGAATATTTTCACAATTTGATGAATTGATGATAGAAAGGTGGTAGCACCCTGAGAGGAAGAGGAAACATTTACTTAAGCATCATTAAAAGTGTGCCTAAGAGGTTGATTTGCTGATAGTGTTCCATTGTGATTTAGAAAACTGCATTAGTAGCTTCTGACTTTGGTTTGGTTTCCCCTAGTCTGCTATTAGGCCTCTTCCCCTTGGGTTCGAATTAACCATTTTAGGGGAAACCAAACCAAAGTCAGACCTTCCTATATATTGCTTACAAAGGGATAGGAAAAGGGATAGGACAAATCAGAAATCAACCATTCGGCCCTAATTGTCCGTAGTACAAATTTATCCCCAGCATCCATGAAAAAAGGGATGTGAGGCCCATGAACTACAGGTTCACTGTGGCAGCCATTTTGGCCAGTGCAGTCCATTATAGAGGAAGCACTGAATTTGACAAGGCTGCAGACTCAAATAATTGAGAGATGCGCTTCATTCAGGTAGGTAGCTTAGTGGTTAAGAGCGTTGTGCCAGTAACCGAAAGGTCGCTGGTTCTAATCCCCGAGTCGACTAGGTGAAAAATCTGTCGATGTGCCCTTGAGCAAGGCACTTAACCCTAATTGCTCATGTAAGTCGCTCTGGATAAGAGTGTCTGGTAAATGACAAAAAAAAATGAAAAAAAAAATGTCAATGAACGTGATGGATATAAGCACTTATGATGAAGGCTCCAGCTATTTTATGAGACCTTCCTACATATTGCTTACACCTACTCCCATTAAAGAATTACTGTCTCAATCCGTAATTCTTGGGAACAAAATCCAAATGTGGCGGCATCCTATAAGTGTACCTGGATGGCTCTGCCACTAGCAGAGATGAAGGCCTCCACAGTGGTAGTGTAGTCTCCTCCTGCAAACTTCTCCTTCTCTGTCTTTCTGCCCTTTACCACAGGGATGGCCATCAGCTCCTCGTATACCCGTGCATACAATTCTAGGATCTGTAACACCTGGACACATGCAAACGGAGAAAAATAGTCAGTATTTATTAAAATACTAGGGGGGATGTTTAAAAGGTATGTTTAGGGAGAATAATGTTCTGAAACTGGGAGGTACTAACTACCTATTGTATCGTATTAGGCCTAATTGTATGTAGTTCAAATGTATCCCCAGAATCCATGGAAAAGAGATGCAGGGTCCATGAACTACAGGTTCACTGTGGCAGCCATTTTGGCCAGTCCAGTCCAGTGTAGAGGAAACACTGAATTTAAGACTGTAAACGTTCAAATACTTGAGCTGTGCCTAATTCAACTTACACAGAAAAAACCAAAACGTTAAAGCCAGACTCATTAAGTCCCAAATAAAATGTCAATTTTTTTTCCTGGTTTTATACATCTTTAAATGTATATATAGACTAAAGATGAATTTGCCATTTGGGTCACTTCAATGTGATTAAAATGACAGTTTTATGAATTATAAGTGCAGCAACATTGTTTACAAATTGCAGGTCAGATTTATCCAGGTAATTATGACGCATAGGCCTATTGATCATTTCTCTTACGCACGTTCTCTCTTTTCCTCTGATCCATCCACGACTACAGCAACATTCAACATATCAACAATACACATATCTAGCTATATCCCTATAATTACAAAAGAGACTCATTATCAATTCGAGTTGAGTGATACAGAATAAAAGTGTAATTTAGCTGACAAATGCATGTCGTAACGGTTCATAATATTGGCTCCTGGCTGTCTGTTGTAACAAAGTTGCTAGCTTGAGCTTCTAAATGAAAACTGGAATTGTGGGCGATTTTTATTCAGCAAGGGAATGACAATATTTTCTTGCTAGTTGAGCCATATTTTAGACTCCTCAGCACGAAAGCCAGCGCTGTCTACTCCTGGTAGGTGAAGCAAACTAGCACGCTACTTTAGCTAGCTAGCAAACAGATAATGTTAGATCCACACATGCATTGCTTGCAAATAGGTGGGTGATTAGCCTACAGCCAAATAAACATTCATGCACTTGCTGGAGTTGCTAGCTGGCTAATTGTTTTCCTATTGGATGTTTAGTTTACTATTGCAACCTTTTGACGGCAAATTAATTTTGTAATTCAACCCTATAGTTGCGGATGGTCTTCATTTCAAGTCAAGTGTTTGCACCGCAAGAGATCAAGCAGATAAAGGAACTACTGTTGCACTGGAGTAGGCAGCCATTTTGTTGAACTTTTCTATGTAAATTGTAATTACTGTATTATAAAGATGTATAAGCAGTAAAATGTAGAGTAGCCTACATGCTTGTAGGCTACAAGCAAACAAGAACACCAGCTGTCTGATACTGACTGATTAAAGGGTGGCTGGCCCAGCGGCCGCTTGAAAACTCTCAAATAGAGCACATTATGACATCTTGCATGGGTATGTTTTGTCGCTCCGGCAGTGATATTTCATAAATACAAATGACGTAAATTAGACTTACCGAGTCTGACTTTAAGCATTGTTTGAATGCACTCCCCAGACCTGACAAGTCCAAACTCAACATTCAAGAGAGAAATGTAAGAACTAGTCTGATGGAGAGTTAAAAATAAATTGGCCTTTTTACCTCTTCCGTGGCCTCCTCTTTGGTGGCGAAAGCCGTGTGCCCCTCCTGCCACAGGAACTCTCTGGTCCTTAGGAAGGGCTGGGGGTGCTTGAACTCCCACCTCTGAGGGAGAGAGGGAGAAAGCGAGAAACAATGAGAAAACGAGAGAAACAGTAAAAAAATGTAAAAATCGGAATACGTTCTGTTAAGTTATCCTTAAGGGTTCTGCCAAAAGACAGTGGAAACACTGGACATGGTTAGGCATCTTCCATTTTAAGTACGTTTGGGCTCTTCCATTTTGATTTTTTTACTTCTGGAATTGACCCCAACGATGACGGTGAATATGACAATTATCATTAGTGGAGTGGACACTGACCACAACGTTGCACCACTGGTTGAGTTTGATGGGTAGGTCTCTGTGGGACTGGACCCATTTGGCGTAGGCAGGGTACATCACTGTAAAAAAAAAAAAAAAAAGAGAGGAAGAATACACGGGTCAGTGGGGCGCCCCTTGTGTGCACATTCATGATTACCGTTTACCCCAGAATGGTACAGAAACAGTATGAAAATCTGGATACCGCTCAACCCTACGGGTCAGTGTGTGAATTAGTAAATGTATAAATGTATGGAAGAGAGACAGCATAGAAGTGGTGAGCGTCTTGGATGAAAATATAGCACTTATGTCATGATTTACATCCATACAATAAAGCTTTTGAGACCTAGTGAAAAGCATCTGTATATATTCAATGCATCAAGTTTAACCTTACGGTCTGACAGAAGGCGGGCAGGTGTGTGTGTGTGTGTCTCTTACCAGTTTCACTAGTGGGTCGGACAGCGATGGGCTCGGCAAGCTCAGTGTTCCCTGACCGTGTCACCCAGGCGACCTGAGGCCAGAAAACACACAAACACAGTTAACTATAAATGTGTCAAATCATTTTAAAAGGAGATCTTCTCTAGCATGTCAAAAAGACAAATGGTGGTCTCACACACACACACAAATCACTGGAGAAGCGAGGACCAGGATTTCCAATAGGGCTAGACACACACTGATACCACATATCACCACTAAATGGCATCAGGAACACACACATACACTGATACCAAAACAGGCACACACAATTCACTGGAGAAGTGAGGACCGGGTAGATACGCATAGATACCACATCTCACCACAAGATGTCAGGAACACCCATCACCCACCTCCCCCCAACACACAGACACACACACCTCTGGGGCAAAATCAGCTATGTGGGACTTCTCTTTCTCCAGGGCTGCCTGCGAGACGAACATGGGGAAGTAGCAGTTCTCCACACCCAGCTTCTTGATCTCACGGTCAAAGAACTCCTTGATGGACTCCCAGATGGAGTAGGACCAGGGCCGAAGCACATAGCAGCCGCTCACGTCATAGTACTCAATCATCTCTGCCTTGGTGATCACCTGGAGGGAAGGCGGAGGGCAGAGTTGAGGGTAAGGGGGGCAGGGGGGGGGGGGGGGGGGGGGGCATGTGAGGACGTGAAGGGAAACATTGACTGGTAAACAAACAAAAAACAGGGGCATTAACCACTTTCATATACAGTGCCTTCAGAAAGTATTCACACCACTTGACTTTTTCCCAAATGTTCTTGTGTTACAGTCAATTTTAAATTGGTAAAATGTAGATTTTCTGTCACACCATAACATCAAAGTGGAATTATGTTTTTAGAAATTTTTACAAATTAAGAAAAAATGAAAAGCTGAAATGTCAATAAGTATTCAACCCCTTTGCTATGCCAAGGCTAAATAAGTTCACACATACAATTAACCCTTAGTCGAGCAGTGAATTTCAAACACAGATTCAAGACCGTGCATGTCAGAGCAAAAACCAAGCCATGAGGTCGAAGGAATTGTCCATAGACCTTCGAGACAGGATTGTGTCGAGGCACAGATCTGTGGAAGGGTACCAAAAATGTCTGCAACATTGCAGCTCCCCAAGAACACAGTGGCCTTGGAACCACCAAGACTGTTCCTAGAGCTGGCCGCCTGGCCAAACTGAGCAATCGGGGGAGAAGGGCCTTGGTCAGGAAGGTGACCAAGAACCCAATGGTCCCTCTGACAGAGCTCCAGAGTTCCTCGGTGGAGATGGGAGAACCTTCCAGAATGACAACCATCTCTGCAGCACTCCACCAATCAGGCCTTTTGGTAAAGTGGCCAAAAGGAAGCCATTCCTCAGTAAAAGGCACATGACAGCCCACTTGGAGTTTGCCAAAAGGTACCTAAAGGACTCTCAGACCATGGGAAACAAGATTCTCAATCCAAAGATTGAACTCTTTGGATTGAATGCCAAGCGTCAAGTCTGGAGGAAACCTGGCACCATCCCTACGGTGAAGCATGTTGGTGGCAGCGTCATGCTGTGGGGATGTCTTTTAGCGGCAGGGACTGGGAGACTAGTCAGGACCGAGGGAAAGATTAACAGAGCAAAGTACAGAGAGATCCTTGATGAAAACCTGCTCCAGAGCGCTAAGGACCTCATACTGGGGCGAAGGTTCACCTTCCAACAGGACAACGACCTTAAGCACACAGCCAAGACAAAGCAGGAGTGGCTTCAGGACAAGTCTCAGAATGTCCTTGAGTGGCCTAGCCAGAGCCCAGACTTGAACCTGATCTAACATCTCTGGAGAGACCTGAAAATAGCTGTGCAGCGACGCTCCCCATTCAACCTGACAGAGCTTCAGAGAATCTGCAAAGGAGAATGGGAGAAACTCCCCAGATACAGGTGTGCCAAGCTTGTAGCGTCATACCCAAGAAGACTCAATGCTGTAATTGCTGCCAAAGGTGCTTCAACAAAGTACTGAGTAAAGGGTCTGAATACTTACACTACCAGTCAAAAGTTCGGACACACCTACTCATTCCAAGGGTTTTTCTTTATTTTTACATTGTTGAATAATAGTGAAGACATCAAAACTATTAAATAAAACATATGGAATCATGTAGTAACCAAAAAAGTGTTAAACAAATCAAAATATATATTATATTGGAGATTCTTCAAATAGCCACCCTTTGCCTTGATGACAGCTTTGCACACTCTTGGCATTCTCTTAACCAGCTTCATGAGGTAGTCACCTGGAATATATTTCAATTAACAGGTGTTCCTTCATAATGTGTTTGAGCCAATCAGTTTTGTTGTGACAAGGTAGGAGGGGTATACAGAAGATAGCCCTATTTGGTAAAAGACCAAATCCATATTATGGCAAGAACAGCTCAAATAAGCAAAGAGAAACAACAGTCCATCATCACTTTAAGACATGAAGGTCAATACAGAAAATGTCAAGAACTTTTAAAGTTTCTTCAACTGCAGTCGCAAAAACCATCAAGTGCTATGATGAAACTGGCTCTCATGAGGACCGCCACAGGAATGGAAGACCCAGAGTTACCTCTGCTGCAGAGGATACCAGCCTCAGAAATTGCAGCCTAAATAAATACTTCAGAGTTCAAGTAACAGACACATCTCAACAGTTCAGAGGAGACTGGCCTTCATGGTCCAATTGCTGCAAATAAACCACTACTGAAGGACGCCAATAAGGAGAAGAGACTTGCTTGGGCCAAGAAACACGAGCAATGGACATTAGACCGGTGGAAATGTGTCCTTTGGTCTGGAGTCCAAATTGGAACATTTTAGTTCCAACCGCCGTGGCTTTGTGTGACGCGGTGTGGGTGAACGGATGATCTCCACATGTGTATTTCCCACCATAAAGCATGGAGGAGGTGGTGTTATGGTGTGGGGGTCCTTTGCTGGTGACACTGTCTGTGATTTATTTAGAATTCAAGGCACACTTAACCAGCATGGCTACCACAGCATTCTGCAGCGATACGCCATACCATCTCGTTTGGGCTTAGTGGGACTATCATTTGTTTTTTAACAGGACAATGACCCAACACAGCTCCAGGCTGTTTAAGGGCTATTTTACCAAGAAGGAGAGTGATGGAGTGCTACATCAGATGACCTGGCCTCCACAAATCACCCGACCTCAACCCAATTGAGATGGTTTGGGATGAGTCGGAGCGCAGAGTTAAGGAAAAGCAGCCAACAAGTGCTCAGCATATGTGGGAACTCCTTCAAGACTGTTGGAAAAGCATTCCAGGTGAAGCTGGTTGAGAGAATGCCAAGAGTGTGCAAAGCTGTCATCAAGGCAAAGGGTGGATATTTGAAGAATCTCAAATATAAAATATATTTCAATTTGTTTAACACTTGTTTGGTTACATGATTCCATATGTGTTATTTCATAGTTTTGATGTCTTCACTTTTATTCTACAATGTAGAAAATAGTAAAAATAAAGACAAATCCTGGAATGAGTAGGTGTGTCCAAACTTTTGACTGGTACTGTATGTAAATGTCATATTTAAGTTTTTTACTTTTAATAAATGTACAAACATTTCTAAAAACCAATTTTTGCTTCGTCATTATGGGGTATTGTGTGTAGATTGATGAGGGTAAAAAAACAATTTGATCCATTTTAGAATAAGGCTGTAGCATAACAAAATGTGGAAAAATTCAAGTGGTCTGAATTCTTTCCGAATGCACTGTATTGGTAGATGGGTAAAAAAAAGAACATAAAAAAAGACATTGAATATACCTTTGAGCATGGTGAAGTTATTCATTACACTTTGGATGGTGTATCAATACACCCAGTCACTATAAAGATATAGACGTCCTTCCTAACTCAGTTGCCGGAGAGGAAGGAAACCGCTCAGGGATTTCACCATGAGGCCAATGGAGACTTCAAAACAGTTACAGAGTTTAATGGCTGTGATAGGAGAAAACTAAGGATGGATCAACATTGTAGTTACTCCACAATACTAACCTAAATGACAGAGTGAAAAGAAGGAAGCCTGTACAGAATAAACATATTCCAAAACATGAATCCTTTTTGTAACAAGGCACTAAAGTAATACCGCAAAAAATGTGGCAAAGCAATTAACTTTTTGTCCTCAATACAAAGTGTTATGTTTGGGGAAATCCAATAAAACACATTATTGAGTACTACTCTCCATATTTTCAAGCACAGTGGTGGCTTCATCATGTTAAGGGTATGCTTGTAATCGTTAACTGGGGAGTTTATCAGGATAAAAAAGAAATGGAATGGCGCTAAACACAGGAAAGATCCTAGAGAAAACCTGGTTCAGTCTGCTGGGAGATGAATTCACCTTTCAGCAGGACAACAACCTAAAACACAAGGCCAAATCTAAAGTGGAGTGGCTTACCAAGAAGACAGTGAATGTTCCTGAGTGGCCGAGTTATAGTTTTGTCTGAAAATCTATGGCAAGACCTGAATTTTTTTTTTAACAATAAATGGGCAAATGTTGCACAATCCAGGTGTGGAAAGCTCTTAAGAGACTTACCCAGAAAGACACACAGGTGTAATCACTGCCAATGGTGAGTCTAACATGAAATGACTCAGGGGGTTGAATACTTATCTAATGAAGATATTAGTGTTTTATTTTTCACATAAATATGAATTTTTACAAATGTTAGAATTTTTCTTCCACTTTGACAGAGTATTCTGTGTAGATCATTGACAGAAAATGACAATTAAATCCATTTTAATAACACTTTGTAACAACAAAATGTGGAAAAGGCTAAGGGGTGTGAATACTTTCTGAAGGCACTGTATGTACAGTATACATATACACACTCACCTGAGAGTACCAATCAGCTAGGTTCTCCTCCTTCTTAGCCTCCAGCCCCAGTCTGAATTAGGAAAATACATACATCATTAGGGTGACATGTTGCATGAGCAAATGGCAGTGAGAAATTTGCTAAATGAAATCGATGGGAGGCATATTATCCAATGCAAATTCCAAACACGGCAACCTTGCATGCATTGTTCAGCTTACTTAACTTAATTAAATAATCAGCTCCTTATAACGTATTAAAGAAAACGTTCCAATTAAATCACAGTGCAGACTGTAGTGAGTTTACGCTATTATTTCTGATCTGTGCTTTTTTGCATTTGGCTTACGTTGTGTGATCAGTAGCAGACTGTGCCTATTGGGCCTCGGCCTTCAGAAGCATGGCTCCCAAGAAAATCATCATGCCAAATAGCCTATGTAATTCATGACAAAAACCACAGCACAAATACACAGCCAAAATTCTCTCTGGCACAGCTCCATATTGGCCAGCTCGAGTCTAGTCGAAAAATTTCACACGTTCACACACACAGCCCAACAATCTCATCTGGCCACAGCCAGCCATCTCAAACCACCATTACATGCATGAGATCAGTCTTTAAAAATGCAATACACACCCAGCTCATTTGGATTAAGTCAAACACGCAATTACAGCACTTAATTAGTATTAGATAAAACAAACTATCGATACACTTTGTAATACGTTTTTAACTTTTCATAATTGTGCTGACAAGGTTGAAATCCACAAACTGTTAGCTAGCTAGCTAACTTAACTCACACAATTTCAAAGAGATAACACAGCAATAAAGCTGAAAAAAAAAAAAATACAGAACACTAGGGATGAGTTCAACGGAAGTTTTTCCAGAATCGATTAGTTTATGTTTGCTAGGGGGGATTAATCAACGTTAGTTTTAAACTAATACATTTGAGTTTTCTTCGCAAAATATAGTCCGATGTGTGCATGAATACTAGATATACGTTTACTTGTCTATTGCGGGGGGAAAGGCCACGCATATTTTGAATTAGAGTCATCTCTCTGTCCAGTGTCCAGCAATAGAAAATCACTTAAATTGGTTGTTTTCGATTACCAAATGTTCAATTACCCTCGATCGACTAATCGATTAATCGAACTCATCTATATGGAACAGAGAGAACACTCACCACAAATGTATCCTCCGGTCCAGCTAAATGGTCAATCATAAGATGTTCCGTTCTTCGCTTTTAAATCCAAGAGAAGCGTTCTACAATAGTCCACCTTTATTTCAGCTAGCTAAACAGAAAACTGCTAAAATTCAGCAACAACTCCTGGCTGATTTAATACAGTGGTGACGTTTGTCAAAGCTTGCTAGCTAGAGGGCACGGAAGCTGTGGAAATTAAAAAAATTAAAATAATACAAATCGGCTTGGCTAATCATGCTGTCAATCCAAAATTCTGCCTTAGTACAATTGAATGACAGAAGCCTTCAATCTAGTTTCTGAAGGCCCTGCTGGGTGGATTGTGGGAAGATTTCTCCCAAGATCCTGATTGAATAGCTATTACACTTTTCATTTTTCCCTTCCCCATCAGAGACATCACCACACGGAACACAATTAATTTTCACAAGTTTTCATTTTAATATTATTAGGCCTCCTCTGAATGCTTTGAAGGCCCTGACAGTATGCCACTGTGTGCGATAACACTCTAGGAGCAATGTGTTGAGCTTATTGCGCAGCAGGTCAAACCACTCAGATAAGAATATCATAATATGTCTGCTGCCATACATTTTCGTATTGGTGACCTCAGCAGGAATCGAACCCACTACACTAACGTTGCAAAAGCCAAACTCTACCAACTGAGCCATACAGGACCACATCCATTCAGCAGTACCCCCCCCCCCCCTATGTTCAAAAACACTATCTCTCCATCTCCCTTCATTTCTGCCATCCATCCCGCTATCTTCAAATCTCCACTCCATTAAAGTACCAATGATTTCTATTCATCCATCCCTGTGCCCTCCCCTCCATCCACCCCTCTCACCGTGTCTGTTTCTTGGGACCACCCTCTCCTCCTCCCCCTGTGCCTCCCAACGAGGCCTCCTTGCTCTTTTCTCCCTTTGGCTGCTTCTTCCCTCCTCCTCCCTGTTTCTCAGATTTGTTCTCTCGGTCCTTGCGGTTCTTGTCCTCTCTGCTCGAGGCTCCGGCGGCAGCCACAGGTTTGTAGTCCTCTCCGGTGAGGGCCTTGTACTGAGTCTTCAGGGCCAGCAGCTGCTTCACGGCACAGTCCACCTGGTCCTGGTGGCATTTTATATTGTGTTATTTAGTCTGCCTGTGGCATTTCATCACTCTACTAGCATTTAGGGCTATCCCTAAATCACAATATTAAGATTTAAATCTGATTCATAATTTTTTGCAAATATTTATATAATAAATATGTTTGCACAAGTAGCTAAAGTTGCCAATGTTAACTAGCTAGCTACACTAGGTACCTGCACCAAAACTCCAGTATTCCTCATCTGAATAGCTTGTTCTCGCCAACATTTTTGGTCATAGTTTACAAAGTGAAATGAAATCCCACTTACCTTAGGAGCATTCTCTGATTTCAGCTTCCTCACTAGCTCCCCCTTTTGGACAACCTGAGTGAAGAGTGCCTGTTGGGAGGAGCCAGACTGGGCCTGGGGGGCGGGGCTAGCCTGGACAGGGGCAGGGCTGACGGCTGGGGCCACGCCTGGTTTGTAGTCCTGGCCAGTCGCCTGCTTGTACTCGGCTTTGAATGACAGCAGCTGATTGACAGCGGCGTCCACCTGGTCCTGAGAGGGAGGGGACAAAGACAAAAGGGTTGATGTCACTTTCTTTTCAACTACCGAAAATGAATGAATAAAGCTGTTCATATTATAAAATAAAGAATATTGCAGATAGAAATGTTGTAATAGAGCAGGCATGATGTCCATTCAATCTTTTATGACGCATTTCATCCAACTTGTGCCTAATGAATGCCAACCTATCATCCCTTCCTGTTGGTCTCACCTTGGGGGCCTTCTCGGTCTTCAGCTTCCTCACCAGGTCACCCTGCTGAGTCACACGTTCATAGATGCCTGAGCCAGAAGTGGCTGTGGGGGCTGGGTTGCTCTGGACTGGGGCTAGGGCAGGAGCAGGGGCTGGGGCAGCTCCTGGCTTGTAGTCGTGACCTGTCGCCTGTTTGTATTCTGCCTTCAAGGCCAAGAGCTCCTTCACGGCAGCATCAACCTGGTCCTTTTGTGGAGTGATTGATCAAATACAGAGGTTAGGCAGGAGATTTTATTTATTTAAATCAGGGATGAAAGAACTATGGGGAAAATGTATATAGCAAATACAGAGATAATACATAAATAATAGTGTCATACATGCTGATGACAAGTCTTACAATCCATTATAACCTCATAATAATGTCCAATACCTGCAGGGTTAAAGTAAAGCGTTACTGAACACTTCTCTTCCTTACCTTGGGTGCTTTCTTAGATTTAAGGTTCCTAACAGATTCTCCCTGTTTGGTCACACGTTCGTATAGGCCTGAGGGTGAGGAGGAGGAGGGGGATGAGGGGGATGAGGCAGTGTGGGCATTCTTGGCTGGAGCAGTGTCAGGAGGGATAATCCCTGGCTTGTACTCCTGTCCTGTGATCTGTTTGAACTCAGCTTTGAAAGCCAGCAGCTGCTTGACTGCAGCATCAACCTGGTCCTGGAGAGAAAACGAGAGAGAGTTTAAAAAATGAATTTATCATATATTTTTGGCAGGAAAACCTCAAAACAAAGAAATACATTCAAATGTTCTACTTGGAGGAACTACAAATTGTGGAGGCTATTTCACCTCAGGATTCTAAATCTAATGTAATCAATTAAAAACAAGCCAACAGTAAACATGTCGTCCCCCACGAATGATGCAGCCCCCCAGGCCAATTATTTAAACTTAAATTGCGTGGATTAATGAGAAGAAAAAAATAAGAAGTTTTCTCTCTCGTTGGAAATCAAAACTTGATAGCTCACAATAGGGTTGGGCGATGTCAACCTTTGTCCTATCGTGACTAAGTACCCATAAAACATTGTGATACATCGTTAAAAATACCACTAAAAAGGACCGCTAGCCACAGGAGGGACGAGAGGAATCATGTCAAAATATATTTTGGGGCCAAATATTTTTATTAGCTTATTCCTCTCTGTTGGAGATGTGGCAGAAAATAGGTGTGTGTTTTTTTCTCCAAAAGGATTAACAGATACTCTCAATGATTGAATTTTTTTTGTGGCCAACTTTTTATTATGTTTTTTTTTTTCTTCCTGTGAGGGGTTCAGATCACAGACAGGCAATAATATTCAAAAAGTACATAGATAAAGAATTGAAAAACAAAAAAATACTGACAAAACACCAAACATCATGTGCATATAGGTTTCACTATCTATTTGAGAACACACCAGACAATTTGGAGAAGGAGCATCATTTGAATAGATGTTTGTACCATTTCTAATAATATCAGGACAAGTTCATACCGAAAGGTTAACTAGAATTCCAGTGGGATGCCATCCCATCCAGGGGATTTACCTCGGGTCCATGTCTTTCAATGCATCGTGTAGTTCATTGAGCGTTATAGGTGCATCAAGAGACTGCCCTTAAAAAAGGGGCTCATGCCGTCTGAGGTATATTGAACTGTATAATTTTTCATAGAAATGTTTAATTGTAAATTGTTTGTGGGTGGGTCATGCAAGAGAACACCATCGTCAGACAATGGAAACAATGTCAGCAAGACTATCATTATTGAGTAATTTACTAGCTAAGAGGAAGCTACAGTGCCTTCAGAAAGTATTCACACCCCTTGACCTTTTCCACATTTAGTTGTTTTTTTAATTTATTACATTGCGCTTTATGGTCACTGGTCGACACACAATACCCCGTAATGTCAAAGTGGCGTTATGTTATTCAAAATAATTCAAAATTAATTCAAAATTAAAAGCTGAAATGTCTTGAGTCAATAAGTATTCAGCCCCTTTGTTATGGCAAGCCTAAATAACTTCAGGAGTAAAACTTAAGTCACATAATAAGTTGCATGGACTCACTGTGTGCAATAATAGTGTTTAACATGATTTTTTAAATATACTTTTTATTTTCTTGTTGGCTCATTGGTTAACAGGCACATATACTGCAATTAGAGTAGTTCATAGAATACTAGCATTCATAATATTATGATTTTTGAACGACTCCCTCATCTCTGTATCCCACACATACAATTATCTGTAAGGTCCCTCAGTCGAGCAGTGAATTTCAACCACAAAGACCAGGGAGGATTTCCAATGCCTCACAAAGGGCACCTATTGATGGGTAAAAACAAAAAGTACACATTGAATATCCCTTTGAGCATGGTGAAGTTATTATTTACACTTTGGATAGTGTATCAATAGACCCAGTCACTTCAAAGACACAGGCTTCCTTTCAGCAGGACAATAACTTAAACACGAGGCCAAATCTACACTGGAGTTTCTTACCAAGAAGACAGTGAACGTTCGAGTGGCCGAGTTACAGGACTTAAATCTACTTAAATATCGATGGCAAGACCTGAAAATGGTTGTCTAGCAATGATCAAGAACCTATTTGACAGAGGTCGAAGAATTTTGAAAATAATAATATGTTGCACAATCCAGGTGTGTAAAGCTCTTAAGAGACTTAGCCAGAAAGACTCACAGATGTAATCGCTGCCAAAGGTGCTTCTACAAAGTATTGACTCAGAGGTGTGAATACATATGTAAATGTGACATTTCTGCATTTCATTACATTTGCATAAATGTCTAAAAACACGTTTTCACTTTGTTATTATGGGGTAGTGTGTGTGGGGAAAAATCTATGTAATCCATTCTGAATTCAGGGTGTAACAACAAAATGTGGACTAAGTCAAGAGGTATGAATACTTTCTGAAGGCACTGTAAATCAGACCTGAATTGATTACAGAAATTCACATTTTTAAGAGTGAGATTAAATCTCCACCTTGTGACTCGATTTGGAGCATTGGTTATAGATAATCTGCATGAGGATCAGACAGACATATGTACATTTCCTCCTTCTGAAGTAGATGCACCAACTGTGATGAAAGTAGTGTGTAATCCATCCTTGAAAAGGATTGGTGGCTAGCGGAATAAAAAAAGTATATTTCAGCTGTGGATTATGCACTAAATATATCTGGTCCCGTGTGGCTCAGTTGGTAGAGCATGGTGCTTGCAACGCCAGGGTTGTGGGTTCGATTCCCACGGGAAACCAGTAAAAAAATGTATGCACTCCCTATTGTAAGTCGCCACCCAAGACCACATGAAAATCCGATATTTCAGCAAGTATTTGGGATAAAGAAACAAAAAACAAATGATTGTATGTGTTGGGGGAATATATGCAGAAAAAATGTTTTTAAAAATGCCAGAAGAAATACCTTTCACATAGGCAATCCTTCCTTCTTGATCATTCCCTTGGTGAATGTATATGAAACTTGAGATTATAGCAAAACACAATAATTACCCCCTTTGTTTTATAATTAGCAGAAGACAGCTATCTTAAAGTTGTTGTTTTCAGTTTCTTATATCATCCTTCATTATATTAGTTTCCCGGAGCATGGCAATGTCTACTGCTTTCCTGTTCATAATATCAAAACAACTAGTACGTTTATTATTTTCATTTATACCCTGTAAATTCAAAGAAAGCACAGATGACTTAACCATTAAAGGGATAATCCACCCCAAACCACTAATTCCTATTATTAAGTGTTAAACACTGTTAAATAACACGTGAAAACAATATTTTTTGTAAACAAATGTTTCATTGTGTCGTAATAATTTTGGGAAATCTGTTGCAGCTCAAGTCTACTACAAAACCCACAATGCAATGTTCTCTCTCTCCCTGGGCTGGCTGGCTAGCTAGCTAGAAAACATAGCTACACACAATACTACCAAAGTCAATATCAGCATGTGAAGTAGCTAGCTAGCTGTAAAATCGCCTAAAACCGCACTATCAATTTACGGGTCTACCTCACAGAATTCATTTTGCAGTTTGTCTCTGCCACTGAGCTATAAACGATATAAATGGATGGATGTGTTCTAGACAAGTATGGCCATACCATCTATTGGCTGATTTGGCGAGCTAGAGTGGAGGTAATTGTTTTAAAAGCATTATGAAATGTGATTGTGTAATCCCATATCTCCAGTGACGAGAATTATATAGCCATGACGCGTTCCTACACGATTTCCTGATTTTCACAGGCGGACCACTTAGAAGTCAAATCGTCTGGGAATTTCTGTTTTACACAGGTCATAGGATTTCACCAAATTGACAGGAGTTTAAGGATTTTAATTTCTGGGGGTGGATTATCCCTTTAAAGATTGGGAAAATACTTTGTTGCAAATTTAATAGTGATCACAATCCCATTTTAAAGTCAATAGATGAGTAGTCAATCAGCATAGAATATGTAAAAAAAACTAAATTTCCCAAGAGCCCTTCCCAGGTCGCAACTATAAACCTCCCCATCCCCTCCCACTAAAAAGGGAATACTCATGATTATATTGCAGTTGTATTATAATCGTAATATCTACACCATCCCTTTCTGGTAGACGCCAACAGCTCTGCATCCAGTTGCAGGTCTGTCACAAGACAAGAACAAATAGCCCATCCACAGGGCCCTCTTTTTGTCCCATAATCTAAATATCAAATCAATTCTACTGGACTAGAAAAGGAGGATAAAACAAAACCATTAATGATGAAATAAAAATAAATACACGTGAAACCAAATAATATCATTATGGACATAGTATAAACCATTAAACAGATCATGATTTGGTCATTAGTGGGCCCCGTCTAGGCGGGTCAAAAGAAAATGAGAAAAAACTATGTGAATGGAACACCCGGCCACGGACAGACAGGGGGTGGATACAAATTAATAACTCAGGAGTCAAAGAAGCAGCTGTGCGCTGTCACATATGAAAAAAAAAAAAAAGTGAAATAATGTCTCACTTGGTTCTGTTTGTATCTGTATTATTTGGTCTATAACTGAGGGTGGGGAAAAGGCTATAGATCTATTTTGTGTTCCACACGTAAGTAAGGCATTGACAGAGTTAGTCTTGGTAGAAGCAAATCAATTATGAGTTGCAAAGTCTGTGGCAGATCATAAAATTAATATTCTGTCATACCTGTGCTGTTTGTTGCTGTTAGGGCTTATGCGCCTGTTCATGGGACCATGCTTCTCTTGACCAAAACATTTGTAGAAAAGTTTACATAGCAAGTTTACATAGGCTGTCGGTTTACCAGCTTCGATTACATGATCCAATCTGATTATTCTCAAATTACATTTCCTGCTGTGGTTTTCTAGCGCCCTTGATTTCTTAAAAAAATGTACATTTACATTATTTAAAAAACATTGGTGGTTTGCATATCCACCAAAAAGCAACTACATCCTCTATAAATATGACAGTAAATACAAAACTGTTTAACTTCTTCGGTACAACTTAAAGATGTGTCTATCTATGGCAGTGGATAAGAAGTATGCAAAAGTGTTTATGCTAAACCACCACAAGGGGTGGCTGGCTGAATGAATTCAACTTTGGCTGCGTTTCAAACCATAAAAGTTTAGTTTGTCTATTCGGAGGCAAACCTAGTGGGCATCCATGGTGGGTGTGTTTTAGAACCCCTTACTAGTGGCTTTGCCAACTTTCATTGTGCACCCACATGGGTGCCTTTCAGAACCCCTTATGAGCACCTTTCTGTTTTGTTTTGGTTGTCAGTGATTTTCTTTTTAAATTCCCTTTATTGTGAGGGACATATTGAGTTTGTCTTGTGGGAACGTAACAATACAAAGCATTATATTTGGGGCAAATCCAATACAACACATTACTGAGTACCACCTTTCCATATTATAAAGCTTTAGGGATGCACGATATATCGGTAAGCATGTCAGAATCGGCCGATATTAGCTAAAAATGCCAACATCGGCATTGGTTCTATGTATAGTTTAACGCCGACGTGCAAAACTGATGTCAAAGCTGACGTGCATACCTGTATAACGTAGGTAGATGACGTAATGACGCCATGAAAAATACAGCGCAAAACGTGAAACACAGCATTCCTAACCTAGCCCACAATGTCTGCTGTGTGGATATTTTTTTAAGTTTCAAAGGAAGATAACAAAAAGGCCATATTCAACGTTTGTGCTGCTATTATTTCCCAAGGAAGGGAGAAAGTGAAATCTTTCAACACCACAAACGTAATTACTCATTTGAAAGTGCATCACCCCCAGACGTTCAGCAACTACTTAGAACAAAAGCAGAAAAAAACTAAGCGCACACTTCCAACAACTAAACAAGTTCAAGTCGAGCAGTCATTTGAAAGAGTAAGTCAAAGGCGAAATACATTAATAATGGAATTCATTGCCCTTGACAATCAACCGTTCTCTGTCATGGATGATGTTGGCTTTCGCCGACTGGTCGAGGACCTTGAGCCCAGTACACACTACCAAGTAGGCGCTATTTTTCAGACTTTGCCCTACTGGAGTTACACAGTGTTGTTGAAATGCACATCCATGAGCTACTTGCTATGGGCGTCACTGTTATTAGCTTCACGACTGACATTTGGAGCAGCGATGTCAGCCCCATGAGCATGCCGAGTCTGACAGCACAGTGGGTCGACGAGGATTTCGTACTGAGGAAAGCCGTATTGCATGCTCAAGAATGTGCTGGTTCTCATACCGCTGCTGCCATTTCAATGGTATTTGAGAACATGTTTGAAACTTGGAAAATCCCCAAGAACAAAGTACACGCTGTGCTACGTGATAATGCACGTAACATGACAAAGGCTTTGGAAGAATGCGGAGTCGCCAGTTTGCCATGCATGGCACACACGCTGCAACTGGCTGTGAACGAAGGTGTTTTGGCCCAACGCATTATATCTGACACAGTGGCAACAGGTAGGAAGATAGTGGGTCATTTTAAACACTCACAGCAAGCATACAGCCGCCTGCAAGCAATACAGGAGCAGCTTGGAGTGCCTGCTGGAACAAAAACGAGTGCTTGGCGTGTACGCAGCCGACTATGAGTTAGCTGCAACAATCAGTACAAACAAGTGGACACTCATTGAAAACATGAACACACTCCTAGCCAGGGACGGCCTGTTCAATAGGGCGATATGGGCGACGCACTGCCAAACGGGAAAAGGAAGGGATTTTTTTTCTAATCAATTATATCACGGCAACAGTAGTTATCAGTGTTCACGTCTGATCTGCCAGCCACTAAATGTCAAATCAGGCTAAAGTCGTGCTTCAAATGGCCCCGCCCGTTTTTGGGGCGATTTCAGTCAAGTTGAAAATCGCCCAGAAGTCTCTCATAGCCTGTCATGTAAAATCTATTTTTTTCAAATTTCAAAGCTTTCAATACATTCTCTATGGGTGTCTGTGGGCTTGCACTTACGCGCTTTCGTCATACGTGACGTAACCATGAACGTAACTAAGACAATAGCGGCTAGCAGCGTCTCTGTTGCGACCTGCAGTGTGGCGTTATTTTATGTTTTTAATTTGTAGACTTAGTTTACAAACATTCTGCCAACCATGGATTTCCAGTGGTTGGTTTTGGACTGATCTTGTTGATCGTGTACATACCCGCTACGAACGGACTAAATAATGAAAACGCTGCTGGCAGCGGAATCCCAATACAGCTGGGAGACTTGGCTGGATGACAGAGTCCCGGACAGAGAAGTGGAGCCGGCCGGCTTCACCCTGGTCAGAGCGGACCGCGATCCTGGTAAGAGAGCGACTCTGTACCCCGACATTGAACTGCTTTCTGTGTCACTGCGACCTTACTATCTGCCCCGTGAGTTCCCCCAATTGTTTGTTACCGTTGTGTACTGTTGATAATCACAAGTTTACTGGAGAACTGAGACCAAGTAGAGACTTTGGACAGGGTGGATATGGTATAATAAAGGCAGTTTATTCAGAGGTAAAGATATCTGGAATCGCGTGCACGGACTCGTTCGTCAAACTCTTAGGGAGAAGAGAGCCCCGAAAACATTGTGTGCAGACATTTTATACAATAAATGATGTAGGTTGAATCTAGTAGTTCTGATCTTCTGATTGGTCCTGATGAGTTGGGCGAGGTCCCCTCCACTGTTGCATTGGCTCTGAGTCGGGTTCTCTGTCTTCAAATGTTCAGCCTAAAGAGAGGGGATTTTTGTGTGTGTGTGTGTGTGTGTTTAACAGTGATGATGTGTGTGTGTGTGTGTTATCAGTGATGATGTGTGTGTGTGTGTGTGTGTGTGTGTGTGTGTGTGTGTGTGTGTGTGTGTGTGTCCTCAGAGCAAGAACTCGTGAGTTGGAAGAACTGAGAGACCTATGGCGTGGGTGTTGTCCTTGGCCACCTGCTGACAAGGCTGACAAGATAGGACTCTTTTGTCCATTGTTATAGGATAGGAACAGCATTGATTGAAAACAAACGCCCAACACAAAATGGGTCATGCACAAGATTTTAGTCAGACCAAGCTATAACATTATATATTTACTACGACAGTACATTCAACCAAAAGCTAATATAACAAAGGCATCAGAGATTATTTATAATCTGTCACAGAAACTGGAATCCATCTCCCCAGATCAGTCAATAAATGCTTCTGGTATTGACTTATATGCTGCCCCTGTCTTCATGTTGTTGCTGGACATATCTTTTTTAAAATGTGTGTAGGTCACCTAAATCATCAGAAAAATTGCCCCTCCTGAGAATTTTTTCAGGAGCCGCCACTGCTCCTAGCTCCATTCGAACAACTGACTCGAGAAATAAGCTCACCAACTGCGTCTGCAGCAGACGTGATACCATCTGTCATGGCATTGAAACGCCTGCTCAACAAAACTGCCGACACAGACCGTGGGGTTAAAACTTGCAAAAGTACTCTACTAGAGGCTGTGAACAAGCGATTCGGTGGCATTCTCTCTGAGCCTCTTTTACTGTGTTGCCACCATGCTCGATGCTAGGTACAAGGACCGCTACTTCGATGCAGACAAGAAACAGGGTTTACGTGAAATGTTACAGACACAGCTGGACAAGATGGAAACGGACACAGTGACTAGCATACCTGACAGAACCTACTATTCCCAGGAATGAAGATGCACTTGGATACTGGAGAAGTAACAAGCACCGTTTCCCCATCCTAGCTAAAGCTGTGTGCAAGTATCTTGGTGCTCCCTGTACTAGTATGGACAGTGAGCGCCTTTTCAGTGCAGATTCACACATTGTAGACGAAAAAAGAACAGACTCTCGTGACAAAGCCGAGCAGGTCCTCTTTGTGAAGAAAAACCTCCCCCAAATGTTAAAATTGTAAATGGGCAGTCCTATTGTAACCCAGCCATCTAGAGTCACTGGAACAAAATTGACTCTAAGCCCAATGGCTTTTCTGTTGTTTATTCATGGCTGGTATAGGTCAAGATTTTCATTTAATTTAAAACAAAGCAATTTTGTTTATTTTTTTTAAGTTCCTAAATGAAAGATGAGATGTACATTCGCTCGCATTTTACTAGTCAGGTCAGTTGAGCACATTTGAAATGTTGTGCCATTTATAGCAGTTTATGACATAGCCTAGAGACAGTAATTTTTTCAAGCAGTTAAAGCAAAAATGATTAACAGCATTTTAGTTTAAAAGAATATTTCTTTCAAAGCATTTTTAAGTTTCTCCATACAGTCAAAGTTGGACAGTAAGAAGAGCCACCAACAAATGAACCATCATTGTAACGCGGGGCAGCTAAAATATTTGTGTCATGAATATCTGTTGTGCAATAAAATACATTAATGGATTAGTAATTTTTCTCATTTACAAGTTATAAAAAAATCTGTTCCTAACTGAACATATGACACTTTGTTTCAACTATTTAACTGTACTAGAATGCTTAAAAAGGCCACAAAAATTTTAAATATCGGTATCGGGTTTTTTGGCTAGGAAAATATTGGATATCGGTATTGCCTTGGTGGTCTTCCCAATAAAGCATAGTGGTGTTTTTTTCTCTTTTTTTTTGCGAACGAAGACAAACAAAGCAAAGCACAGAGAGATCCTTGATGAAAACCTGCTCAGGAGCGCTCAGGACCTCAGACTGGGGCGAAGGTTCACCTTCTAACAGGGCAACGACCCTAAGCACACAGCCAAGACAACGCAGGAGTGGCTTCGGGACAAGTCTCTGAATGTCCTTGAGTGGCCCAGCCAGAGCCCGGACTCTGGAGAGACCTGAAAATAGCTGCGCAGCGACGCTCCCTATTCAATCAGTGTAATTCTGTACATTCTGGATCTCTATGGCAAGATGCATCATTCACCCAAGTTTCGTCAATATCGGGCCAGTGGTGTCTGAGATAGTATGTACATTAGTCACACGTGATAACGGACATACACAGATCCATAGTCACCGAATTTCATCGTGGGGGACAAAAAATTGAGCTACAAATCTGGAAATATGTTACCGCAACAATACAATTGCATTTGATGTCAGGTTTTTGGGATGTTATTGCACCAAATGATAAACAAGAGAAAAATAGACTCAAACCTTGGGAGCCTTCTCGGATTTCAGCTTCCTCACTAACTCCCCCTGCTGGGTGACGCAAGCAAAGGGGCAGGAGGCGGAGACAGAAGAAGGGGCGGGGGCTGCTGCCTTCTGAGGGGTGGAGCTGGCGGGCAGGGCCATGCCTGGTTTGTAGTTCTGGCCAGTCAGCTGCATGAACTGGGTCTTGAGTGAGAGCAGCTCCTTCACCGCTTTGTCCACCTCCTCCTTAGGGGCCTTGGTGGTCTTCAGATCGCGCACCTTCTCGCCTTGAGCCACGATGCCGGAGAAAACGGCGCCGGCATCACAAGCGGCAGTGGGGGCTGGGGCAGAGACCGGGGCGGTTTTGCCCTTGGCTGGGGAGGCGGGCTAAGAGGAGAGACGACAAGGAGTTCAAAATATAAGAGAAGGCATCAGAAAAGCGATTTAAAAAAAACTACAATAATCAAATTATCTACATTAATATATAAGAATACAGGGTGCATCTGAAAAATCTAAAATGATTCGAACTTGTCAAATAGTCTACAATTCTCCTAACTGCCTCTCCTATCTGCATTAATCTGAAAGAACAGGACAGTTGAAAGAAAATTGTCTGGTGAGCATCAGCCATCCTATATCCTATATCTTTGGACCAGTGCAGATGAAGGGGAGAAGAAAACTAGAGGAAATAACTTTAGATTATTGAGATGAGCCTGTAGTTAGTTCCTCTCTCCTTTCCTAATGCAGTGTAACTATAGTAGACGGGTAAGTAACAATACTCACTGTGGTGGTGGCGGCCTTGCTCTTATCCTTGGAGCCGGCGGTGGGCATCTCCTTGGTGTGGCCATCGGGGATGTACAGCAGCACACAGGGACTCTCCTTACAGCTGTGGGGACTGGGGGACAACACCAGGGTAAAATTACTCATACCAGCACACTGGAACAATGTAGTAGGGCTTCATTTCGAAGAGTCATTGTGATATCTATTTAGAAAATGTAGCATCCCAACCAAACCTGGGTTCAAATCTTGTTTTAAATCATTTCAAATACTTTAGCTTTTCTTGATTGAGCTCGACTGGCATTTTTGAGCCAATAGTAGGGTGTTAGGGGTTAAAATGAAACTGTGGTTCTTTATTTCATGAGGATAAGACTTTCCATTGCTGAGATATTTTATTTTCAAGCGATCGGAAAAGGTCCAAAAGGGTTGCGGACTGGTCAATGTTAATCCTTAGTCAAAAATGGCACCAAGTCACCTGTCTGGATTCTTAATTTCAACATGTTTTATCCAATATCTCAAGATATGGTTGTCATATTATGACATTTTCAGGGCTGATGTAGAACAGAGTTGATTCAAATAAAAGTAAAACGTATGAAAATAAAATTCAAGATTATGCAAATGTTCACTTAAAATGCAAATGACGGAGTGGTGCCAGGAAAATAACCTCTCCCTCAACAAAACGAAGGAGCTGATCGTGGACTTCAGGAAACAGAAGAGGGAACACGCCCCTATCCACATCGACGGGACTGCAGTGGAGAAGGTGAAAAGACCTCAAGTTCCTCGGCGTACATCACTGACAATCTGAAATGGCCCACCCACACAGACAGTGTGGTGAACAAGGCGCAACAGCGCCTCTTCAACCTCAGGAGGCTGAATACATTTGGCTTGGCACCTAAGACCCTCACAAACTCTTACAGATGCACAATTGAGAGTATCCTGTCGTGCTGTATCACCACCTGGTACGGCAACTGCACCGCCCGCAACCACACACACACCAACGTGGGAGTCTCTCTATCTCTCTCACAAATCAAATATTAGTATCTAGGTGCATTATTAATATGGTACTCAGTTCAGCAAGGGCGACTTATATGGTCATAAGTGTACAGTAACAGTACAAACATGATGAGCAGTAGCAGCATTGGTAACAGGTTATGTACTGGAAAATAAAGAAAATAAAATAACTAAAGTGTACAGTGCCGTACGCTTTAGCAATGAAGAATGTTTAAACTATGGATTAAGGGGACACCCGGGAACACATACCATGGGTGATAACAGAGTACATATAATTGGGATTACATAATCGTGAACAAAAAGCAGGGTAACTATTTACCTATTAGTAACAGTTAGGCTATATAGTGCATTCGGAAAGTATTCAGAGCCCTTGACTTTTTACACATTTTGCTACGTTACAGCCTTATTCTTAAATTGATAAAATTGTTTTTTTTCCTTCAATCTACACACAATACCCCATAGTGACAAAGCAAAAACAGGTGTTTAGACATTTTTGCTAAGCTATTAAAAATAAAAAGCTGAAATATCACATTTACATGAGTATTCAGACCCTTTACTCAGTACTTTGCTGAAGCACCTTCGGCACTGATAACAGTCTCAAGTCTTCTTGGGTATGACACTACAAGCTTGGCACACCTGTATTTGTGGAGTTTCTCCCATTCTTCTCTGAAGATCCGCTCAAGCTCTGTCAGGTTGGATGGGAAGCATCGCCGCACAGCTATTTTCAGGTCTCTCCAGAGATGTTCGATCGGGTTCAAGTCAGGGCTCTGGCTGGGCCACTCAAAGACATTGAGACTTGTCCCAAAGCCACTCCTGCATTGTCTTGGCTGTGTGCTTAGGGTCGTTGTCCTGTTGGAAGGTGAACCTTCGCTCCAGTCTAAGGTCCTGAGAGCTCTGGAGCAGGTTTTCATCAAGGATCTCCCTGTAATTTGCTCCGTTCATCTTTCCCTCGATCCTGACTAGTCTCCCAGTCACTGCCGCTGAAAAACATCTCCACAGCATGATGCTGCCACCACCATGCGTCACCATAGGGATGGTGCCAGGTTTCCTCCAGACGTGACGCTCAGCATTCAGGCCAAGGAGTTCAATCTTGGTTTCATCAGACCAGAGAATCTTGTTTCTCATGGTCTGAGAGTCTTTAGGTGCCTTTGCCTTTTGGCAAACTCCAAGTGGGCTGTCATGTGCCTTTTACTGAGGAGTGGCTTCCATCTGGCCACTCTACCATAAATGCCTAATTGGTGGAGTGCTGCAGAGATGGTTGTCCTTCTGGAAGATTCTCCCATCACCACAGAGGAACTCTGGAGCTCCTTCAGAGTGACCATTGGGTTCTTGGTCACCTCCCTGACCAAGGCCCTTCTCCCCCGATTGCTCAGTTTGGCTGGGCGGCCAACTCTAGGAAGAGTCTTGGTGGTTCTAAACTTCTTCCATTTAAGAACGATGGAGGCCACTGTGTTATTGGGGACCTGTGCCTTGACACAATCCTGTCTCTGAGCTCTATGGATAATTCCTTCGACCTCATGGCTTGGTTTTTGCTCTGAAATGCACTGTCAACTGTGGGACCTTATATAGACAGGTCTGTGCCTTTCCAAATCATGTCCAATCAATTGAATTTACCTCAGGTGGACTCCAATCAAGTTCTAGAAACATCTCAAGGATGATCAGTGTAAACCGGATGTACCTGAGCTCAATTTCAAGTCTCATAGCAAAGGGTCTGAATACTTAAGTAAATAAGGTACGTATTTTATCTTTTGAATACATTTCCAAAAATGTCTAAAAAAGCTGTTTTCGCTTTGTCATTATGGGGTATTGTGTGTAGACTGAGGAGGAAAAATATTTAATCAATTTTAGAATAAGGCTGTAACGTAACAAAATGTGGAAAAAGTAAAAGGGTCCGAATACTTTCTGAATACACTGTATATCACAGTAATGTTGTATTCCGTACCCATACAGCCTAACACAGACACACACTTCTCACTAAGTCTGAACCGTAACACAGAAGGCTACACTAGTCGTCTAATAACATAGATTACTTCTAAGGTAGGCCTACACCTGAGTTGGGTTACATTGTAATGTTATGTTTGGTGTTGATGAGGATAAAATGCACAATTTCCATCAAATAATTAGCCTAGGTCGAGACTAGATTGAGTTGCCTGCTTGCCACCTGCACAGCAAGTAGATGGGACACATTTTCAATTCACTGGTATTTAGCTATGTTTTTATCGATTGTAGGGCTGTAGCTACTGAATTCTGGAAGTTTACACTTGAAATAATAAAACCATCAATCACAAAATTTGCCGCTGGCACAATACAGCCACTGCAGAGCAGTGCTGCCTCTTGCCCAGAGTGTTAACTCAGCAAACAGCGTCAAGCCAACAAACACTCCCTCGCACAGCTAGCTAGCATCTCATCTTGAAAACGGGTGACGACATGTGAATTTGGACCAATCCCTGACAAGCCACACACCAAAATGCAGCTACGAAGCTCTACTTTGTAACCTGCTATGTTTTTTTCATGTCTCTTAAAACTTTGTACCTTATATTTCAGTCCAAGGACGTCTGATGACTGTAAAACACCCTCAGGACTTCCCCATACTTGTTGGCAATACAATGTCACATCGATCTTACTCTGGTAGAGTGAGGAATACCAATTTCAAATATGAACACACCGATTTCACAGGTTTCCTAAAAAAGGCTGTCCCACAGAATGTAACGTTCTTAGCACGGCACTTGCTTTACATTTGGGCTCATATTGTGTAAATATCATAACGTACAGTATTGGGATTTAGACATGGTTAACAACTTCCACATTCATGTTTTCAAATGATTAATTATGCATTTTAAGACCACAATATTGACATTTAGTGAAAATTGATTTGATCACTGTTGTTTTTTTAATGTATTATTCTCGCCTACCGTCCATTGTTTGTCGAGTCACCTGACACCCTACCCCAAACTTCAAACCCTGCCGATCTGGGAGTCCAGGCAGCATTAAGAAAATGCTCAAAGTATTTGAAAGATTTCGAAGAGCATTTGAACCCAGGTCTGCATCCAACCATCCATCCATCCATCAATCTACCCAACTCACCATTCACCCACCCATGCATCCCTCCCAAAACTAGTCAAAAGTTAATGAAGACCTTGAAGAGAAGATAGGACAAACCTGATTGGCTCATAGGGCTGGTCACAGATGTAGAAGCCCCGCCTCTGCAGCTGGATGATGTCACCCTTCTTCAGGTCCTTCAGACATGGGTCTCCCAGCATCTTCTCCTCCAGCTAAGAAAAAGAAAGGATGGGAGAGAGGAATGTGAGGAAAAGAAAGAGAAATAGGGAACCCCGTTCAGTCTTCGCAAGTGATTACAAGTGATTCTTCATACTGGTCAATGATAGCTGCTCTAGTCATAATGATGTGCTTTCCTAACTACATAAGCCCTTCTTGTAACAGCTTTGCACACAAAACACACACACACTCCCTCATACATACCACATAGACAACCAACCCCCCTCCCACATACACACCCCCAGGCTTGACCCATCCCCACACCCACCCTTGACCAATCCACACTCACCTTGCTCTGTTTGTTAATGTACTCCTTGAAGTCATCCTCCTTGCCCATGACGGGCTTGGTGATGAGGTGCTGGTAGTTGACACAGACTGTGGGCAGCAGGGGGGCGCGGGGGGTCTCGGCCAGCCACGTGATCTTGGTGGTCTTCTTGAAATCCTTGTTCTCCAGGTTCAGCTTGCCCTCCAGGGAGGTGACCTTACCGCTGGCATCTCTGGATCACACAGAGATAAAGAGAGGTGGAGGGGATAATAGGGAATTGAGAGATGGATTTACTTCATTCTACATTTGGTAACATTTCACTTTTTAAATGGAATACATCAGTTACACAGAGAGAGAGGGATCAGCTACATGGTGTATCTATGACATCTATGCTAGTAATCCTAGTTGTGATCCCAGCTTCTGGAGAGCCACAGTACAACTTATCAACTGATCTTGATTAGTTCAATCTGGTATTTCACTGCTGCTCTGATAATGTAGCTTTCTGGGACTGGGTGAACACGTGATAAACACTTGCCTAGGCAAGCCCTCCTGATTAACTTTCTGTAAAAAGTTGCAGGTCCGAAAATCAATTAATCTTACTTGTGGATCTTGGTGATGATGATGTTGCCCCAGTTGATGAAGGTGACCGTCTCTCCCTCTGTGAAGGTCTCTGCATCCGCCCCCTCCACCAGCACTCTGGGTCCGTACCACACCGCCTTCATACCCACCTCTGTGTTCTGGGAGGGTTAAAAAAATACAAATTTGCCAGGTTTAGTTGCTGGAGTTATGTTGGATTGACTATATTTGTATGGTTTGGCGGTTTATTGGTTAGGCCAGGGGTTTTCAAACTTTTGTTGCCCAGGGACTGCCGCCGAGGCAAATCGGCAACCCCCATCATATATATGTTAGCAAACATATATGTTGTCTTATTATCAAGTAGAAGTAATCAACATTTTAAAATGAATACATTTGGTAGACGCTTTCATTATTTGGACTCAGAATTTACACTTCCTCTTCAATGAACTAACAGACTATTAGCTAGAAAAGGTATCTTGGCAGCATAAAGAACATTGTGCAGTTTTGAAACTAATTTCCTGAAATTCTATGCATTATGCCATGGCTAATGCTGTGCTCCTCTACTCAAACATAACAAAATCACTGGGCATGAATGGACGGTTTTTGGAATTTGCAATTCTCCCTGACTGTCTCGATTTATTTCAAAAGATGCTATTATATACACACACTAAATGACCAAAGGTATGCGGACATCTGCTCGTCGAACATCTCATTTCAAAGTCCCCCCTTTGCTGCTTTAACAGCCTCCACTCTTCTGGGAAGGTTTTCAACTAGATGTTGGAACATTGCTGCAGGGACTTGCTTCCATTCAGCCACAAGAGCATTAGTGAGGTCGGGCAGTGAGGTCGGGAAGTGATGTTGGGCGATTAGGCCAGACTCGCAGTCGGCGTTCCAATTCATCCCAAAGGTGTTCGATGGGGTTGAGGTCAGGCCCTGTGCAGGCCAGTCAAGTTCTTACACACCGATCTCAACTAACAATTTCTGTACGGACCTAGCTTTGGGCACGGGGGCCTTGTCATGCTGAAAAAGGAAAGGGCTAAACTGTTACCACAAAGTTGGAAGCACAAAATCGTCTAAAATGTAATTGTATGCTATAGGGTTAAGATTTCCCTTCACTGGAAGTAAGGGGCCTAGCCGGAAACATGAAAAAGAGCCCCAGACCATTATTTCTCCTCCACCAAACTTTACAGTTGGCACTATGCATTGGGGCAGGTAGCGTTCTCCTGGCATCCGCCAAATCCTTATTTGTCCGTCAGACTGCCAGATGGCGAAGCGTGATTCATCACTCCAGAGAACGCGTTTCCACTGCTCCAGAGACCAATGTCGGCGAGCTTTACACCACTCCAGCCAACGCTTTGCACTGTGCATGGTGATCTTAGGCTTGTGTGCGGCTGCTCGGCAATGGAAACCCATTTCATGAAGCTCCCAACCAACAGTTCTTGTGCTGACGTTACTTCTAGAGGCAGTTTGGAACTCAGAAGTGAGTGTTACAATCCACTGATGCAGACCTTTGGAACATCTAAATGTTTTAAAAAGGCTAATAAATCCATGCAATATAGCATACACCATCACAATAAGTCCATTATTTACTTTAGACAGGTCTAAAGAAACATGATATGAAGGTATGAGTTGTCCTTATGTTAGGCCCTGATCTGGCTATGTCATATGGCTGTGGGCTACACTAGTTCAGAGAACAGTCTGTGGTAGCAGAGAGAACAGTCTATGACTATGGTGGCTGGAGTCTTTGACCATTTTTAGGGCCTTCCTCGGAGGATAGAGTTATGGTCAGATTTGCCAAATGGAGGGCGAGGGAGAGCTTTGTATGCGTCTCTGTGTGGGGCGAAAAGGTGGTCTAGAGTTTTTTTTCCCTATGGTTGCACATTTAACATGCTGGTAGAAATGAGGTAGAACGGATTTAAGTTTCCCTGCATTAAAGTCCCTGGCCAATAGCAGCGCTGCCTCTGGATGAGCGTTTTCCTGTGTGCCAAAAGTTTGTAGCGTCATACCCAAGAAGACTCGAGGCTGTAATCACTGCCAAAGGTGCTTCAACAAAGTACTGAGTAAAGGGTCTGAATACTTATGTAAATGTTATAGTTTTTTAAATATACATTTGCAAAGAATTCTAAAAACGTGTTTTTGCTTGGTCATTATGGGGTATTGTGTGTAGATTGATGAGGATTTTTTAAATCAATTTTAGAATAAGGCTGTAACGTAACAAAATTTGGAACAAGTCAAGGGGTCTGAAAACTTTCTGAATGCACTGTATATAGTTCAATATACAGGTAAAAGTCAGTAAATTAGAATATTTTGAAAAACTTGATTTATTTCAGTAATTGCATTCAAAAGGTGTAACTTGTACATTATATTTATTCATTGCACACAGACTGATGCATTCAAATGTTTATTTCATTTAATTTTGATGATTTGAAGTGGCAACAAATGAAAATCCAAAATTCCGTGTGTCACAAAATTAGAATATTGTGTAAGGGTTACATTTTGAAGACACCTGGTGCCACAAAATAATCAGCTGATTAACTCAAAACACCTGCAAAGGGCTTTAAATGGTCTCTCAGTCCAGTTCTGAAGCCTACACAAACATGGGGAAGACTTCAGATTTGACAGCTGTCCAAAAGGCGACCATCGACACATTGCACAAGGAGGGAAAGACACAAAAGGTTATTGCAGAAGAGGCTGGCTGTTCTCAGAGCTCTGTGTCCAAACACATTAATAGAGAGGCAAAGGGAAGGAAAAACTGTGGTCAGAAAAAGTGTACAAGCGATAGGGATCACCGCGCCCTAGTCAAGATTGTGAAAAAAAACCCATTCAAAAATGTGGGGGAGATTCACAAGGAGTGGACAGCTGCTGGAGTCAGGGCTTCAAGATCCACCACCAAGAGACGCTTGAAAGACATGGGTTTCAACTGCCGCATACCTCGTGTCAAGCCACTGTTGACCAAGAAACAGCGCGAAAAGCGTCTCACCTGGGCTAAGGAAAAAAAGAGCTGGACTGCTGCTGAGTGGTCTAAAGTCATGTTTTCTGACAAAAGCAAATTTTGCATTTCCTTTGGAAATCGAGGTCCCAGAGTCTGGAGGAAGACAGGAGAGGCACAGGATCCACGTTGCCTGAAGTCTAGTGTAAAGTTTCCACCATCAGTGATGGTTTGGGGTGCCATGTCATCTGCTGGTGTCGGTCCACTCTGTTTCCTGATATCAAGGGTCAACGCAGCCGTCTACCAGCAAGTTTTAGAGCACTTCATGCTTCCTGCTGCTGACCTGCTCTATGGAGATGGAGATTTCAGGTTCCAACAGGACTTGGCGCCTGCACACAGCGCAAAATCTACCCGTGCCTGGTTTACGGACCATGGTATTTCTGTTCTAAATTGGCCAGCCAACTCCCCTGACCTTAGCCCCATAGAAAATCTGTGGGGTATTGTGAAAAGGAAGATGCAGAATGCCAGACCCAACAACGCAGAAGAGTTGAAGGCCACTATCAGAGCAACCTGGGCTCTCATAACACCTGAGCAGTGCCAGAAACTCATCGACTCCATGCCACGCCGCATTAATGCAGTAATTGAGGCAAAAGGAGCTCCAACCAAGTATTGAGTATTGTACATGCTCATATTTTTCATTTTCATACTTTTCAGTTGGCCAACATTTCTAAAAAATCCCTTTTTTGTATTAGCCTTAAGTAATATTCTAATTTTGTGACACACGGAATTTTGGATTTTCATTTGTTGCCACTTCAAATCATCAAAATTAAATGAAATAAACATTTGAATGCATCAGTCTGTGTGCAATGAATAAATATAATGTACAAGTTACACCTTTTGAATGCAATTACTGAAATAAATCAAGTTTTTCAAAATATTCTAATTTACTGACTTTTACCTGTATGTTCTGCATGCTTCCTATCTGGTTTTGGTCATTACATTTCCATCCCGAAAATGTCCACTTAAAAAACTGTAATTAGCGACAATGACTAATTTCCTCATATTAAAGGGATAGTTAGAGATTTTAGCAATGAAGCCATTTATCTACCTCCCCAGAGTCAGATGAACAGGACCAGCTTGCATGCTAACTGTTCCTGTAGACTTCCAGTTGTTGTGCTGGTTATCATTAGCTCATGAAACGACATCCAACTTTCTTCATATAGGACACAGAGACATAAAAATTGTATCCACGATGGTATTCTGTTGTAGCTAACAATTTTTATCAAATAATTATTCTACACATAAAAATAAAAAAATGTGACCGACCGGCTCGATTCTATCTTATGTAGGAAAATTTGAAATTGTGTTTTTTTACATTGGATAAAAGTAGAGAATAGAAAACGGTATATCATACACTACAGATGAGGAACAATTGGAAAGTAATTCTGCTTTAAAGTTGATAAACTTGTAACCTCACTTTTGAGAAAATGGCCCATTCATGTTTTGGTACCTACTTGAGAGCTCTTCTTTGTCTACACCCATTCAGCATCATTCACACCCTTTTAAGCTTTAGCCCCACCCATCTCTTTAAGGATTCACATGTGAGGCTATGTACTAAACTACCAAAGATTTCAAGACGAAAGGCTGATTTATACTACGGGTGTGTTCGTAAATTAATCTGGAGTGCCAGTGTGTGTTCTGGGCGTTCGTAATCTCAGAGCGTTGTCAGGATTGTCCGTCCGTAAATTTAGAGCGTTTCACTCTCAGAGCGTTCAGAGCGCACACTGGACTCTCTGGCTGAGGGTTGATCCGAGCGTTCTGTCCTAACAGCAGCAGTCAAGCACCCAAGCTAACTGGCTAACATTGGCTAGCTACTTCCAGACACAAATGAGAGAACAGCTCACTCTGACCATTTTACGCGTGCTTGCAGAGGTGGTTATGCTGTTTTTATGTTATCCAGAGTGTTAGTGACTGCAATTGTGCTGCTGGCAACAATTTAATTATGCTTTTTTGCCAACGTTTACTGACACCGGCCATATTCAACGGGTGTTGAGCGTTTGTAAATTCGTCAGTTATTCTGCGCTCTGGCACACTCAGACGAGAGTGCTCTGAAATCGGAGTAGATAGCCAGAGCGAATTTACCAGCTTCGTCTATCAACAGTTGTCGCAGTGACATCATTAACAATCTATTGAAATGGTTACTTGCATACAGTCTTCTGTTAAGACATGTAGCTAGCTAGCTAAACAATGAACCATAATCCCAACTCATGACGTTACTACTCTGCATGAACCTGCTGGTAGCTAACCAACCAGGTTCAATGTTAGCTAGCTAACATTAGGCTGTAACTAGCAAAGCAAATGGCTCTGAGACACGAATAATATTCCTACACAGATCATACACGTACCGTTAGCTAGCGAGCCAGCCAGCTAACGTTAGCTAGTTAGCTAACAGTACACTTTAACTTGAAATGAAAACGACTGACAAAAATAGAAACGTGTATTATCTGAAAATGTAGCTAGCTAGACTATCTTACCTGTCTACATGGATGGATGCTTCTCCCTCTCTGTCACGGATGCCATGGTTGCCCTTAGTTTGAAGATGTAATCCGGAGACAGGGCTATCATACTCTAACTCCACTGATGTCAAAACTCGGTCCATATGCAGTTCTACTATGTGATATATTTTTAAAAAAGCAGATTTCGAAAGGATTACCTACACATACTGACCAGCTCAAATAGACAGAAGCGTGCTACATGGCAGACCAATCCGAACTAATCTCTCGGCATGTCCAGCCCATTCATTATCTTAGCCAATCATGGCTAGCGTGAAGGTTATTTTTTTTAACCTTTATTTAACTAGGCAAGTCAGTTAACCTCTACGGGATTGGTGTCCCATATACGGGACTGTTGAGCAAACGTGCGTATTATATTCTCCTACATTAATTGACGGCCTACCCCGGCCAAACCCGGACGACGCTGGGCCAATTGTGCGGCGCCCTATGGAACTCCCAATCACGGCATGATTGTGATAAAGCCTGGAATCGAACCAGGGTCTGTAGTGACGCCTCTAGCACTGATGCAGTGCCTTAGATTGCTGCGCCACTCAGTTGCTGTCTTTTTCTGTGGCTAAACCAATTAGGCTCGTAATTTAACAATTGTATTTACAGATGGTATACAAGTTTGTTATTAAGGCACATGAAAGTTGACATGTACCAGAAGGCATTTCTGTCAAAAAAGTTTATGTTCAAATGGCTCTCCTGTTAGGTAGAGATGCGTGACATACACTTCGTTTCCTGAAACGAGTCACAAATACAATTGTGGACTGCAGTTTTAAAACCCCTCGGTTAGGCTATTCATTTGGGCAAGATTTAGTTGGTTGATTATTTACTACTCATCACATATCCTCAACTTTACTTGTGGGGGGAACTATCCATTTTAGCATTGTCAGAGTAATATACACATCATGCTTTGGCTGCTGAACACTAGATAAGAGTGCAATACTTCTATCTAGTCAGGGTGTGTCCAATATGTTACCCTAATCCCTATATCATGCTCTACTTTTGGCCAGGCTTTGGTAGTATAGGAGTGCACATCGTAGGGAATAGCTTGCCATTCCAGAGACAAGAGTGCAAATAATAGACATCAATGTACCTTGCCAACACAATGTACCTAGGGGCGGCAGGTAGCTTAGTGGTTAAGAGCGTTGTGCCAGTAACCGAAAGGTCGCTAGTTCTAATCCCAGAGCCGACTAGGTGAAAAATCTGTCGATGTGCCCTTGAGCAAGGCACTTAACCCTAATTGCTCCTGTAAGTCGCTCTGGATAAGAGCGTCTGCTAAATGACCAATTTATTTACCTTGGGGTGTTTGACGGCCTTCTTCATCTCCTCTGGTGCTTCGGGGATGACGACAGGGACGGAGTAGGATCCTGACAGGGCTGTGTATCTGGGCGCCACTGGGTCGATAACCTACAGACACACAGACATGGAAGAGGTTCATTATTGCAATAGTGTCCTGTGTAGAGACAGAAATTATCATTCAATTTCCTGACTAAAGAGTAAAAGAGACAGGACATTTCAATTGGACCGGAGCATGTTCAGCCTATTTCACACTACCCAGCTGAGCCTAGCAGAGGCGTACTGTGCTGGCCTGGTTATACATCCACCATAGTTCTTGGAACTGTGCTGAAAATGACAACGTGAAAGGAAAATACCCAATCTAGCACAGTACGGTTTGGCACAATAGTGTGAAAACAGCATTTTCCTGAGCGAGCTAACAAACAGTCACCCATTCACAGCATTGAATGGAAGAAAAGAAGGGGAGATGTAGGCAGGGATGACATGAGAGAGAAAAGAAGGATAGAAAGCAGAGGGAGAGTAGTATGAGAAGCCAGTTTTCAGTATGCATTGCCAACACAGACAAGAGGGAAAAGAGCACCCATTTTGAAAGGAAATCTGCATGCATGGCCATGAGGAGGTGAAGTCCCTTGAATTTTTCACATCCTGTAGCCTCGTCAAAACAGACCCTTAGAATGCCCTTCTTTCATGATATATACAGATATGCCTATGCCACCAAAGGTTTTGCTTATCTGAGCTTATAGATACTAGTAGTCTCACTAAAAAATGGCTGCAAATATAGGGTGAATAACAACTTCACAATTCAAAGACTACTAAGAAAACACATAAGCAATCGGATGAGTGTCTAGGAGAGCAGGATGGGGGGGGGAAGGTAACTTTTGGAGGAATGTTCTCCTCAGAATTGAATGGAAGTCAGACTTCATGACTGAACTACAAATTAGCTCTGAGTGAGATTTGTGCAAAAATAATGTTTCAGAATTGATGAAGACGTAGATTGGAGGAGACGTGGGAGAGAAAGGACGGAAAGCACTAGTGTCATGATACCAGAACTTTGACTTCGATACCAATACCAGGTTTAGTATCACAATACTCGATATCATCATGATACTAGATTCCAAAACGATACCACAGCAAAAAAAAAAATAGTCACAGAACAGCACTTCATCCAGACAAACTCAGCTAGTGCAGTTCAATTGTTGGGCATCTTTTGAGTTAAATATCATTACATTTGACATTTTTTATGTCCATTTTTCAGAGAGCCATGAATGCATTAATTAATCAATTACACACTCAATTTGACTTTGTTTTTACCAATCTAACTGCATAACATAATGGTTATCATTTATTTGAAGGTAAATCTACTGATAAACTGGGTCCTCTGTAGCTCAATTGGTAGAGCATGGCGCTTCTAACGCCAGGGTAGTGGATTCGATCCCCGGGACCACCCATACGTAAAAATGTATGCACACATGACTGTAAGTCGCTTTGGATAAAAATGTCTGCTAAATGGCATATTATTATAAATCAAGACGTAGCATAGGACCACAATACAGGTGAATGCATATTCAATAGGAGTGTGTGCATACAGTGCATTCGGAAAGTATTCAGACCACTTGACTTTTTCCACATTTTGTTACGTTACAGCCTTATTCAATCTAAACACAATACCCTATAATGACAAAGCAAAAACAGGTTTTTAGAAATGTTTGCTAATTTATTAGAAATAAAAAACAGAAATATCACATTTACATAAGTATTCAGACCCTTTACTCAGTACTTTGGCAGCGATTACAGCCTCGCGTCTTCTTGGGTATGACGCTACAAGCTTGGCACATCTGTATTTGGAGAGTTTCTCCCATTCTTCTATGCATATCCTCTCAAGCTCTGTCAGGTTGGATGGGGAGCGTCGCTGCACAGCTATTTTCAGGTCTCTCCAGAGATGTTCGATTAGGTTCAAGTCCGGGCTGGGCCACTCAAGGACATTTCAGAAACTTGTCCCGAAGCCACTCCTGTGTTGTCTTGGCTGTGTGCTTAGGGTCATTGTCCTGTTGGAAGGTGAACCTTTGCCCCAGTCTTAGGACCTGAGCGCTCTGGTCAAGGATCTCTCTGTACTTTTCTCCGTTCATCTTCCCCTTGATCCTGACTAGTCTCCCAATCCCTGCTGCTGAAAAACATCCCACAGCATGATGCTGCCACAACCATGCGTCACCGTAGGGATGGTGCCAGGTTTCCTCCAGATGTGACGCTTGGCATTCAGGCCAAATATTTCAATCTTGGTTTCATCAGACCAGAGAATCTTGATTCTCATGGTCTGAGAGTCCTTTAGGTGCCTTTTGGCAAACTCCAAGCGGGCTGTCATGTGCCTTTTACTGAGGAATGGCTTCCGTCTGGCCACTTTACCAAAAGGCCTGATTGGTGGAGTGCTGCAGAGATGGTTGTCCTTCTGGAAGGTTCTCCCACCTCCACAGAGGAACTCTAGAGCTCAGTCAGAGTGACCAAGGGTCACCTCCCTTCTACCCCAATTCCTCAGTTTGGCCGGGCGGCCAGCTCTAGGAAGAGTCTTGGTGGTTCCAAACTATTTCAAATTAAGAATGATGGAGGCCACTGTGTTCTTGGGGACCTTCAAAGCTGCAGATTTTTTTGGGTACCATTCCTCAGATCTGTGCCTCGACAAAATCCTGTCGTCTCGGAGCTCTACGGACAATTCCTTCAACCTCATGGCTTGGTTTTTGCTCTGACATGCACTGTCAACAGTGGGACCTTATATAGACAGGTGTGTGCCTTTCCAAATCATGTCCAATTAATTTAATTTACTACAGGTGGACAATTTCGAGTCTCATAGCAAAGGGTCTGAATACTTATGTAAATAAGGGTACTTCTGTTTTTTATTTGTAATACATTTGCCAACATTTCTAAAAACCTGTTTTTACTTAGTCATTATGGGGTATTGTGTGTAGATTGGGATTTTTTTTGTAATCCATTGTAGAATAAGGCTGTAATGTAACAAAACGTGGAAAAAGGGAAAGGGTGTGAACACTTTCCGAATGCATTGTATATTAAGTTATTGAGCTTGTTTTGGCTGATTTCATTAGCGCTACAGATGACAATCTGTTTCCCTTACATTTTGAACTTTTTTTAGTGTACTGAAAAACATTTGCATAAAAGTATCAATCTCTTCTTTTATAAAAGTACGAGCTCTCTTTTTAACCAGTAATTACGTTTTTCACGAGCTTTGCACAGGGAGTCAGTTGGTTCGGTGTAGAATGAGGTGTGAGGCAGGGATAATTTTCTTCAGTATCTAGGCGTGAGGGAGGCGATCATGTCAAGAGTGCTAGTCAAATCAAACTGTTTTTGACACATGCGAATACAACAGGTGTAGACCTTACCGTGAAATGCTTACTTACAAGCCCTTAACCAACAATACAGTTAAGAAAATAAAGTTCAGAAAATATTTACTAAATAAACTAAAAGTAAAAATTAAGAACAAAATTATACTAACATGTATTTATTTAAATAAATTAATAATAACACAATAAAATAACGAGGCTATTTACAGGGGGAACCGATACCGAGTCAATGTGCGGGAGTACAGGTAAATCGACGTAATTTGTACATGTAGGTAGGGGTAAAGTTAATATGCATAGACTATAACCAGCGAGTAGTAGCAGTGTAGAATAGTCTGGGTGGCCATTTAATTAATTAATTAATTAAAAAAGTCTTATGGCTTGGGGGTAGAAGCTGTTAAGGAGCCTTTTGGACATAGAATTGGCGCTCCGGTACCGCTTGCCGTGCGGTAGCAGAGAGAACAGTCTATGACTTGGGTGACTGGAGCCTGACAATTATTTGGGCCTTCCTCTGACACTGCCTAGCATAGAGGTCCTGGATGGCAGGAAGCTTGGCTCAGTGGTATACTGGCCCGTACGCACTACCCTCTGTAGCGCCTTACGGTCAGATGCCGAGCAGTTTCCATACCAGGCGGTGATGCAACCGGTCAGGATGCTCTCGATGGTGCAGCTGTATAAACTTTTCGAGGATCCGGGGACCAATGCCAACTCTTCTGTCTTCTAAGGGGGAGAAGTTGTCGTGCCCTCTTCACGACTGTCTTGGTGTGTTTGGACCATGATAGTTTGTTGGTGATGTGGACACCAAGGAACTTGAAACTCTCGACCCGCTCCACTACAGCCCCGTCGATGTGAATGGGGGCGTGTTCGGCCATCCTTTTTCTGTAGTCCAGGATCAGCTCCTTTGTCTTCCTCACGTTGAGGGAGAGGTTGTTGTCCTGGCACCACACTGCCAGGTCTCTGACCTCCTCCCTATAGGCTGTCTCATCGTTGCCAGTGATCAGGGCTGTCAGCAAGATTAATGATGGTGTTGGAGTCGTGCTTGGCCACGCAGTCAAGGGTGAACAGGGAGTACAGGAAAGGGACTAAGCACGCACCGCTGAGGGGCCCCGTGTTGAGGATCAGTGTGGTAGATGTGTTGTTGCCTACCGTTACCACCTGGGGGCGGCCCGTCAGGAAGTCCAGGATCCAGGGAGGTGTTTAGTCCCAGGGTCCTTAGCTTAGTGATGAGCTTTGTGGGCACTATGGTGTTGAACGCTGAACTGTAGTCAATGAACAGCATTCTCACATAGTTGTTCCTTTTGTCCAGGTTGTAACGTCATCTGTGGATCTGTTGGGGCGGTATGCGAATTGGAGTGGGTCTAGGTTTTCCGGGATGATGGTGTTGATGTGAGGCATGACCAGCCCTTCAAACCACTTCACGGCTACTGACGTGAGTGCTAAGGGGCGGTAGTCAATTAAGCAGGTTACCTTCGCTTTATTGGGCACAGGAACTATGGAGGTCTGCTTGAAACATGTAGGTATTACCGACTAGGTCAGGGAGAGGTTGAAAATGTCAGTGAAGACACTTGCTAGTTGGTCCGCGCATACTCTGAGTACACGTCCTGGTAATCCGTCTGGCCCCGCAGCCTTGTGAATGTTGACCTGTTTAAAGGTCTTGCTCACATCGGCTATGGAGAGCATGATCACACAGTCGTCCGGAACAGCTGGTACTCTCATGCATGTGACAAGTGGGCAGCTTGCGGCTGGGTTTCCCTTTGTAGAAGTAAT